AAACAAAAGTACAGAACAACATTTCTCACAAACATGCAAAAATCCTCAACAAAACATTAGTAAGTCAAACCCGTGAATATATAAAAAGAATTCTAGGCCACAAGGGTTTATCCCACTTATACAAGACAGGCTGGACAAATCATCAATGAAGCACATGTATGATCATATTAAAATGTGAAGAAAAGGCCAATACTCCAGAGAAGAAACTCTGAGCAAACTTAGAGAATTTCCTCAACTTGATAAAATCAACAGCTAAATATTTGTGGGTAAGAAACTCAACTGTTTCACTAAGACAGGACCAAGGCAGAAGTATCCCCTTTCACGCTGTACTGAAAGTATCAGTTAATATAATGAGACAAGAGGAATAAAAGCTATACAGATCGGAAAGGAAGAAATAAAACTACCTTGGTTCACAAATGACATGGCTGTCTGTGTATAAAATCTGAAAGAGTCAACAACAGAAATGTCTGAAAGAGACAGTAATAAGATTGCAGCTACTGCAAGATAACAGGATACAAAGTTAGTACGCAAGGTCACACTGCTAGCTGTGTGTCAGCAATAAACACATGGAATCTGAAGTCGGGAACACTGTGCCATTTATACAGGTACTCCCCTAAATGAACATTACATTTAAATCTAACAAATTATGCCTAAGATCTACAAGAAGAAAACTACAAAACTCTGATGAAAGACACCAGAGGAAAAAAAACCAAACAAATAGCCAGTTGCTCTATGTTCATGAACAGAGGACACAAAATTGTCCAATGTCAGTTTTCCCAGCTTGATCCACAGATTCAACGCAATGCCAATCAAAATCCAAGTGAGCTGTTTTTGTGGCTATCAACAGACTGATTCTATAGTTCTTAGATGACAGCAGAATATACAGAAAGGCCACTGTTATCCTGAAGGAGAGAAAGGAGCCAGAGGACGGACATCACCCAAAATCAAGACTAATTATAAAGTTACCATAACCAAGACAGTGTGTTTTGGCAAACGAACACACAAATACATCTACTGAACTTAATACAAAACTCAGAGTAGATACATGGTAAAATATAGTCCTTTGATTTTTGGCAAAGGAGCAAGGGAGAGAAAACAGAGAAAAGATAAACTTTGACAGATGGTACTGGAACAGGCAAATCCAGGAATCTCAACAGCTGCCTTATACCCTCCACAAAAACTAACTCAAGGGGACTGTACGCCTGAATGCAAGATATAGAATTATAAAACTCTTAAGACAGTACCATAAGAAAATCTTGCAGATCCAGAGCCAAAATTAGCTCAGACTATCTTTAATCTCCTTTATAGAGGCTTATCAACCTTTGTATCTGAAAAACAGCATGTGAAATCCTAGGAGATCCCCACTCTCTGTAATGGCCTACTTGCTGTCCTTAATGGTATAGCTGGTAAATACCTTGGTTCCTGACTTTGTTTACCATGATTATAAAAATCTCAGGTAACCTCTTCCACAATGGTACACGACATTCAGGGCAACCAAAATCCTTGTCACCAGACCATGGTCACTCATATCTGGCTCAGAATAAACTCTCTTCTACTCCCTTTGGAACAAAACATATGTTTTGCATTATCAATATTTATAGTAGCTTTATTAACAATTTCCCAAACTTGGAAGCAACCACAGTATCCTTAAACTGTAGCATATCTTGAAAATGGAATATTATTCTACGATAACAAGAAATTAGCCATCACTCCATGAAGAGACATGAAGGAAACCTAAATGCACATTAGTAAGTCAGAGACTCCAGTTTGAAGGCTGCAGACTGAGTCCAATAGTACAACGTCCTGAAAACGGCAAAGCAGTGGAAAAATAAGATCTATGACTTGCCAGGGGTGGGGAGGAGCAAGAGCAGGCAGAGCATAGGGAGTTTCTAGGGCAGCAAATCAAATCCGACACTACAATGAATCCACGTAATACATTTGTTAAAACTCATAGACTATGGGGTTGGAGAGATGGCTCAGTCATTAAGAGCATTTTCTGTGCAATTGTGAGGCCCAGAGTTCTGATCCCAGCACTCATTAACAAGCTGGGCATCCAGTGCACACCTGTGACCCCAGCCCTGCGGATGGCAGAGACAGGATGTGATGGCTAAACTTGATTATCAACTTGACACATCTGAGGAGAGGGAACTTCAGTTGAGGATTTCCCCCATCAGACTGGCCTATTGACATGTGTGTGAGGCATTATCTTGATTGCTAAGTGATGTAGGAGGTCCCAGGCCACTGTGAGTAGTTCCATTCCTAGGCAGGTGGAGCAAGGCAGTACACAGCACTTCTCCAGGAGCTCTGCTTCGGTTCCTGTCTTGGTTTCACACAATGATGAACTATAACCTGTACGATGAAATAAACCCTTTCCTCCTCAAGCTGATTTTGGTCAATGTTTTATCATAATAGAAACCAAACTAGGACAGAAATTGGTTCAGAAAAATGGAAGCTATGGCTTTTATGTCTTAGACTGTTTGAGGGGAAAAAGGGGAGGATGTTGGTACTTTGGGCTAGAAAAATCACTGAGCACTCAGAGCTTGTGATGGTTAGAATGAGAATGTCCCCCACTCTCTTGGAACAGGCTCCAAGTATTTGAACATTTTGTCCTTACTTGGTGGCAATGTTTTAGGAGGTCTTAGAAGGTGTGGCCTTGCTTCTGTGCCTGCTTGAAGATGTGAGCGCTCTTCTGCTCCTACTCCAGCCACCTCTGCTGTCATGCCTCCCAGCTATGTTGAACTCTTGCCCTTTTGGAACCATAAGCTAAATAAACTCTTCATTTTATAAGTTCCCTTGGTCATGGTGTTTCTGTCACAGCAACAGAAAATTAACTAATATGTAGCTTAATGAGTTACTGTGGGAACTTGGAAAAAAATGTTGAGAACAATGCAAGTAATGGAGGCCTGGCTATGAAGTTTCATAGGGACATCTGAGAGTCCTTTGAAGACTCTATCAGAGCTGTTTATGTGATCATTTGAATTAAGAATCTGTGGTTTCTGGTCAGTTGGGGCTGAAGAATCAGCTCTGATTAACGAGAGACCAGCACCACTGAAGTGAAGTCTTCTGGGAAATACTTTCTCAGGATCAGCACATAGATGCTGTGGTTCAGGGGAAGGCCAAAGCAGTGCATCAAGCTGGAAGCAGCCTGGCAAATAACGTGCAAGAGTTTCCCACATGGAACAGGCTGTGAAAGCTTGAAGGGGTCATAAAGAGCGGCTAAGGCTTGGCACCATATGGGAGGACTGGAGTCCCTTCAGAGAGGCCGAGAGGCCACTGGTGAAGGTTCAGCCTCAACTGCAGTGGGGGCCCCTAGATATTGGAGATGCCAGGACCATGGGATGACCATCAGTGGCAGCACTAGGAGTGGAGCTGGCCTGAGCCTGGCAGAGTTGCAGGAGTGGGGCTAACCAAGCCTTCTGGAACCCAGAAGACCATGAGTGAGTCCCACACTATTGGATTTGGTTTTTGCTTTGATCTGATTATAACTGCGTCCTGGTTCTTCCCTCTTAGAATAAGTATATAACTTGTTTTAGATTTTGCAGGAGTAGTTAAGAGGCTTTGGATTTTTAAAAAGAACTTGGACTTTTAAATCGCTGGATTTGTTTTTTGAGACAGGGTCTCCCTGTAACCCCAGCTGGCCTGGAACAGGCTATGTAGACCAGACTGACCTCAGTACCACAGACTGGCCTCAATCCCACCTGCCTCTGCCTCTCTAGTGGGATTAAAGGTGTTTGCCACCATGCACAGCTAACCATTGAAATTTTTTAAAGACTGTGGGACTTTTAAAGTTGTTATAAAAAAATATAAAGTTTTATATTATGATATTAACATGAGCTCTTGGGGACAAACTAGAAAGTAAAGATTATGGTTTAAAGTGATGTGTTTGTGTGTCAAGTTGACTAGGGGTAGACGTGTGATACCTAATCTTGGTTGTCAACTTGATGCACCTGAGAAGAGGGACTCTCAATTGGGGAATTTCCTCTATCAGATTGGCCTGTGGGCGTGTCTGTGGGACATTTTCTTCATTGTTCATTGATGTGGGAGGGCCCAGCCCAACGTGGACAGTGCCACCCCTGGGCAAGTAGGCCTGCTCTATATAAGTAGCTGAGCAAGCCAGGAGGCAGCATTCCTCCATGGTTTCTGCTTCAGTTCCTGCCTCCAGCTCCTGCCCTGGCTTCCCTCAATGACAGACTGTTAAATTGTAAGCTAAAAAGCCTTTCCTCCCCAATTGGTTTTGGTCAGTGTTTATCATAGCAACAGAAAGCAAATTAGAACACAGGAGGATCACTGGGGCTTGCTGGCTTCCATCCTAGCTGAGAAAACTTAAGCCACAGATTCATGGAGAGACCCTCCTCAAAGAAATAGGTAGAGAGTGACAGAGGACACCCGGTCCCCTCTTCTGACCATTGCACATACATATTCATCCTTCCCCCCACATACGTGTATATTCAAGCAAACACACACACACACACACACACACACACACACACAAATAAATCTTAAAAAAGAAAACCTCACAGAATACATCACCACCAAGAATTACCACCACTATGGACTGTGAGTTGATGCAGCTCATGTATTGTTCCCAATGTCCCTTTCTGGTGCGGGTCTAGATTGTGGGGGGCGGGGGGGCGGGGCTGGACATGTGTTGGGACACAAGAACTTTCTAGATCTTCTGCCAATTTTGCTGTAAAACTAAAACTGCTCCAAAATATGTCTATTTGAAATCTTTTCACGAACTAAAATCTACCATCCTATGTTTCTATTTTACTGTTTCTCTTTCAATAAAGTCTGCCGACCACCCACCAATGTCCTGACAGGAAAAGGAAAGGTGCATTCTTGGATGGCATCCAGTGGCTCATGGAATCCAATCTCTGCCGTGTCCCCGACTCTTACCACCCCCCTCTACCCCCTGCCACCTCCCAGCTCCTAGAGTCACATTCTGTCCATTCACAGGTGTGTGAGCCTTGTAAGGTAGCTCCCCAGCTCTGACACAGTACCTGGAGGGAGGGTCTCCACACTCTGTGCCTTTTCATCTCCATTGCTGTGGTGAAGGTCTTTCTTTTTAATGTCAATGTCATTCCAGTCCTCCTGGGGAAACAAAGACACTGAGTAAGCTGGCTGGCTGTCAGCATGACTTCACCCACCTCTCCACTTCACTGGCCGTGTCTCATAATGCCACAGACCCTGGGGACCCAAAGGTGAGCAGAGGTGCTCACAGTGTAGGCCACCTCTGAACCGCCTGGATGCCAAAACTCTGGGGAGGAAGAATGGGATGACCTGTGCAGGAACACGCACTCCCCTCTGGGCTGCAACTTGACTGCACCCCTGCCCGCCCACAAAAGCCTCACTCTGGAACCTCAGAACCCCAGGCTCTGAATAAGAACCACTGTGACTGCAGGTTGAGCATAGTTGTTCCCAAGCCACAGAACCAAGGTTGGGAAATCTCAAAGGTTTGGGCCCTCTGAGTGCCCAACACATCACCTATGACACACCAGGGGCTCATGGGGAAACTGCTGGGGAGCCAGCAGGCCCAAAGAGCAAGACACAAGCTCTGGTGGAATTTATCCCACCCATCTGAGCAAGCAATTTGCTATCATTTATCAACATTAAATCAAACTAAGTAACAGTTCCACAGCCACACAGCTTAATGCATTTTCCACCCACTTCAGTCTGATTTCTGTGAATAAAAAGTGTTTCTGTGCATAACCCAAATTGGAAACCTCCCATGGGCCCAGCATTGCGGACAGCCACTTCCTGAGCAAATGAGGATGCTGGGCGGTGGGAACCCTCCCTAGGGGCCCAGCTAGCTCTCCATGTAGCCAGCACTCTTTGTACTGGGTCCGCTGTGCATGCCTACGGTGTGTGCCCACTATGTGCTGGACTAGCTCTAAGAGGTTTCCTGGGGCCTACGTGAACAGACAACTTCCCCAAATGTTATTTGCCCTGCTCATACTCTGCGTTTGAGAAAAGCTATCCTGTCCCCAGCCCCTTTACTCTCAGTGGCCTTCTCCTCCTTCCCTGGCTTCTGGATTGTAGTAGAGTAATACAGCTGGGCTTTTCATAGGAAGAGCATACAGAGGAGGGGGAGAGAAACCCTCCAACCCAAACCATGCCCCAAAACAGCCACCCAGCACAAGGCTTCTCTGCCCTTCCAGACCCCAAGTGTTTTCCACCCACACAGTAACAAATGTTTTAAGACCCATCTAGACTCTACTTAAAAATTTTTTTGCAACCAACAAATTCTAAAAAGATACTTGGAATCAGCTCTTCTGATTACTGGGTTATAAATAAACTTTCAGCCCACTGTTGGCAATGCTTATTCAGAGACCCTGCCATATACATAACAGAGGCTAACTGACTGTGGCTTTGCAGTAAAAGGAGCTGTGTGAAAAACTAAACCGGCTGGCGGTGGAGCTCCAGGGCTGTACTGTGTTCATTTTTTTTTTTTTTTGAGAAAGGGGTTCCCTGTAGTCCCAGCTGACCTGAACTCACTATGTAGACCAGGCTGGCCTTGAACTCACAAAGATCCACCTGCCTCTGCCTCCCAAGTGCTGGAACTAATAAAAGTGTGCGCCACCATGCCCAGCTGTACTGTGTTCTTAATGAAGTAATTTCTACTTTGTAGTTGGCGTGTAGGATTTTGTGACTAATAATACCTCTGGTTTCTCACATATGACAGCTACTGGATCAAACCATCTCATCTTTAACTTGAATAAATAAATCAGAGACCAATACTGCCCTGGAGGAGCTAATGGTTCTAGAATCAAGTCCTAATCTGTGGCAACCACATTGATCAGGTTACTGATCAATGTTTTCTCAAAGCATACATACTTTCTCCATGTCTACCCTCCAATCCTTCCCCACCTCCACTGACTACATCTACTGTAACCCTAATTCTGGAGGTAGTAAGAAGGGTGAAACAGCTCAGGGCACCAGGTAGGACAAGGTACTAAAGACTTTGCCTATCTGGGAACATGCACTGTGCACCAGCCACTGGCGATTCATCATGGTTCTGTCTTACTCATATGATCAGAGAGGTTAAATGATTAGAGGTCACCCAGCTGGTGAGAAGTTGTCCACAACCCTAACCTTCTAGTTAAGGAAGGCACAAGGAGCTCATTCTGAACATGTCATTAAAACTCAAAAATACTTTTCTAAGCCAGGCGTGGTGGTGCACCCCTTTATTCCCAGCACTTGGGAGGCAGAGGCAGGAGGATCTCTGTGAGTTCAAGGCCAGCCTGGTCTACATAATGAGTTCCAGGACAGCTGGGGCTACAGGGAGACGCTGTCTCAAAAACAGCAAAAACAAAACAAAACAAAACAAAACAAAACAAAAACAAAAACTTTTCTAAGGGTTGAACAGGACTTTTTCACAGCAGAGTTCCACTCATAACCCCCAACAGTGAGCTACTGGAAAGGGGAAGGAGGAGGAAGAAGAGGAAAGAGAGGAAAAGAAAGCCACTACCAGTGCCACTGCCCACATGCAGTGACTTTCTGTGAAGACACTGCAGCACACTGCATCCTCAAAGTCATCACCATGCCTACTCTTACGGACCACGCTGAGGCATAGAGTCTGAGCAGCATGCAGCATACACCACAAGGCTAGCTCTGAACCCAGAGCACACAGGGCTAGAGCCCAGGCTAGGGCATCTTCTGTGCCACCTCTAGAGGAGGTAGCCCCACCTCCCAACCCCTCAAGCTACCAGAGTGAAAAGAAATGGCCCGTAAACCAGGCATCTCAGAACTCAGAACACATATGGTCACAGATATAGACTCCTGGGCTGCTACTCACCCTCCCAGACACTGCTGTTCCTCTGTCCCTCTCTTTTCCCAGCCCACCAACCATAGGGCTACAGTAGGCACAGGTAGCACCCCCTGCTGGATGCACTTAACACGCCATGCACCCCCTGCTGGATGCACTTAACACGCCATGCACACCCTGCGGAGGTACCTTGGGAGGATTCTGTGGAAGGTTATGCCCTGCCCACAGAGGTGGGACTCAGGGGAGACCTGAGAGAAGCAAGGAGAAAATGAGGAGGGGTCAGGGGTAGTAGCAGCCCCAGACAAGGGGCAGAAGGTACACAATGAGAGACAGAATGTAGAAGATGCTCTGAGGCTGTTCTAGAAACTTCTCTCTGGTTGTAGGGTAAGAACACACTGGAGGGGGCAGAGACCAGGCCAAGTGGCCAAGACAGAGGTGCAGTGTAGGGAGGGGGCACACTGGACAAGTCTAGGAGCAGTGGGGAGGCAGGTAGCTCTGATCTGGAAGTGAGAATCCCAGGAGGGAGAATCTGGAAAACAGGTGGTATTCAGGGACACACATGTCATCCCCAATCCCCACAAGCCTAGACCAAATGTGGGTGGGAGTGGAGAAAGGACAGAGGATAAGGCCACACAGTGGAGGAAGGGGCCTAGGTCTGGAGCCAGGGTCTAAGCCCAAGATATTAGGCAGGGCCCAGCCCATGACAATGGGGTCTCATGAGTCATCCAACTTCTTCCAAACTGAGAGGCTGGGCAAACTGCCTCGAGTCCTTGTGGCCCAGGTTTGCCCTTCATACCAGTTTCTCGTTCACAAACATATAGCATACAAGACCCCAGGTCCTCTGTGGGGACAAGAACCGTCTCTCATCCCTTCTGCATGTCTTCAGTGGTGTGGTGGCTGCCTGATGATGAATGCAGCTAAGCCATGTACTCCACCTTCTTGGGCTGTCACTTCTCAGGGCCACTCAGAAGGCCCCATACATACACCCCAGCAATGCTATTCAAATACAAAAATGGCCTCAATGAAACCACGTGGTGGATGGAGCTCTGTGCTCAGGGCCCATGTGTTCAGGCTGGAAACCAGCCATGGTGCTCCCTCCGCTATGGGGAAAAGGGTGCTGTGGCAGATAGACAGACAGGTCGTCTTAGTGACAGGTACACCTGTGAAATGAGAGCAGTAACAACATGGCTGTGCCATGTTTGTAACAGGTATAAAAATACTGCTCTTGGCCGGGCGTCGTGGCGCATGCCTTTAATCCCAGCACTCCGGAGGCAGAGGCAGGCGGATCCCTGTGAGGTCAATGCCAGCCTGGTCTACATAGTGAGTTACAGGACAGCTGGGGCTACAGGGAGACCCTGTCTCAAAAAGACCAAAAAAAAAAAAAAAAAAAAAAATTATTCAAAAAAAAAAGAAAAAAAAAAACACTACTTCTAACACCTACTCCAACAGAGTGAGAGAAGAAAATCACAACTGTACTACCATCGTATATCTAGACAGCTCAAGGGCCTCCAAAGTTATTTTGATATATCACAGTGAAAGATTTATCGTCCTCTTTTTTTTTTTTTTTTTTTTTTTTTAAAAAAAAAAAAAAAAAAAAAAAAAAAAACTGCTCTGAAAGAAAAGAGAAAATAAACAGGCTGCTTTTAACCCCCTACATTTTGTCACTGTAGGTGACACTCCAGCTACTAAACCATCTGGTCAGGCACAGAGTAAGACCCCAAAATACCCCTGACTGGTCGCCTCCTCATCATCACCTGTCACTGTCATTCAGACACTACTCAGTAATTATCACCAAGGTCAATCTGAACAGCAACACTTGAGTTTATAAAAAGTCAGGTTGCCAGATTCTGAAAAAAGAGGTGCTTACTCAGACTGAAACCCATGTCTCAAGACTCAGACTCTTCAAACCACTGAAGAGCAGCTTAGTCAGGAGCCAGGCTCTCAGAATAGACCAGCTTCCAGCTAGAGACCATACCTCCCAGGGTCAAGCATTTCCACCAAGGGATTCACATGAACCCAGGACTCCTGGCTGCTTCTGATTTTGGGGGGTGGATGTCACAGCATGGTGGAACAGAAGAACCAACCTTGGGTCCTCTCAGACAGGGTGAGGCACTTGCTGCTTATGTTACAACCTCAGCTTTTACTACCAGCTACTTGTCTTGCTGTGACCAAACACCTGACAAGAAGCAACTTAAGGAAGAAAGGATTTACTTCGGCTCACATTCCATCATGGCAGGGAAGGCAGCTGTGTGGGAACAGCTTGTGGATATGGGGACAGGAGCAGGCAACTGCCTGCTCAGATCACCACAGACCAGGGAGCAGAGAC